AGGGAGGAGACCCCCCCCATCCCCACCGTAAGCAAGACGGGGAGCAACGACGCTTGAGCCGTAGGGTTATCGCCCGAGAAGGAGGAGGAAGCGACCGCGGCACCGCCGAGATGGGAAAAACAGACGCAAAGAACCCGGTTTTTTTCCCCCAAAAAAAAGGCCTTCCCCGCAACCACCTCCGCCAAGGTCCCACCTTCCTTCACGACGCCCATCTTGGCAGCCGGGGAGTTCTGCTGCACTCGCTTGACGAAGACCCCGTCATCCGTCTGGTCGATGGTGATGCCGTGGGAGCCGCTGCCTTGCCAGTTGGGGAGCAGGATCTCCCGGGTCTCCTCCTCCTTCTCCATCTGGGGAAGGAAAAAGGCGGAGGGTGAGAAGGGAAGCGCGGCGGCGGAGACGGACGCGGGGTTTGAGCGTGGGACGTTGAGGAAGAAGAGCTGAACCGGCTCCGTCTCACTGACCTCGCTGGGACGCTGGTCCCGGCTGGATCCGCCCCAGGAATCCCTCTGCCTTCACTCGGGGACCTCGCAGCAGCTTTTGTTTCACCTTCCCGGCCTGGTGGAGACATCGGAGAGGTCCGCGTGAAATTCCGGCTTTCCTCCCACTCCCTCTCCCTTTCTTTCACCCTCGACACCCAGACGGGACGGGAACCCAAAAAGCGCCTCCCAGCTGCCCACGGCGCGACTCCCGCCCGAGGCCGTATTGCCAAGCCGGGCCTTTTTCGGTCAACGGGCCGAGAAGCGAGAAGCTGCGTAAGAGCTAAACGTCACCACGGCCGAGGGTGGCAAACGGCCGCCACGTCTCGCTGACCCACCCGAAGGTTGTTACCGATACGCCCGGCACCGGCACCGTCCTCGGAGGAGCTCTTCTCACGCTCGGTAATAGACATTTCTGCCGTTCTACGGCAACTAAAGAAATTCAGACGTTGGATGGTCGGGAGGTACAAAAGCAACGGTCGCTTTGCAGCCTCAACTCTCCCGCTTCCCCCCCCCGAGTCTCCTTGCGCCCTCCCCCCCGCCCAACTTCAACTTCTTTGCCGCCTAAAAACGAGTCGAGGGGATTTCTCCATTTCTAGCGAGCTTCGGGCAGGCGCGAGAACTAAATAGAACAGAAACCCGCCTTCCAACGCGGCCGCAAAGGTTACGAAGGGCGAAGACGGGACGAGCCGGATCCTCGCGAAGTCCGGACGCCGCAGCCGACGCTCGGCCCGGGAGCGCGGGGCAGGAGGGGACCTGCCCCACGGCTCCCCACCGGCAAAGCCTCCTCCCAAG